GTTGGTGAATAACCAGGGCGTTGAATTAATGCAAGTCGACTAATCCTCGCAGCCACACAGTCCACATACTACGTCTAGATGAATTTGAAACATTGAGTCCCTCTTAGCCATTTGAATGGAATGGTCGGAAGACAAACATTATGATATGAATTCATTCTACACAATCTCATCAATCGAAAACGTGTGACCAGCATGAAAACAAAATGTGATGAACATGACTGACATGCTTTGTCTCCTTCTGTTATGCAATTGTTTTACTATTCTAATATCCTGTATAACTGATACGTACGATTCAGTAGCATACGTTCTGTGTCATTGTGCCAAATTGTGTTTTGCGATTTTTATCCGTTCTGTCGTTATTCTATATAATTCAGTTCTAATTACAACATTCTGCGTCGTGCCCTTGCACTATTTGCAATGACTACTAAAGTGGACCGATTATCCACTAATTCAAATGCTCGAGAAGTGGAAGATTATTTCAAGAGGCTTGCTATTTGGTGCCTCACAAAATCTGATTTGGACGAGAAAAAGAAGGTTGTTTTCTTTCTACATTTCACTGGCATGGAAGTTTATGCCCTTGTCAAAAACTTGGCTTTCCCGGAATTACAATCAGTTGTTCCTATCCAACGCCAAAGAAAATATTCCCCCAACACTTCAAACCGGTGAATTTAGTTGCAGTTGAAAGATCCAAGTTCAGTGTGCTAATTCCGTCAGAATCTCAATCGATTCGTGATTTCATCCTGCAATTGCAAACGCAAGCAACCAAGTGTGAATACGGCATCCAGTTAGAGGATCAGCTACGTGATCGGCTGATTGCTGGTATTAACTTGCCAGAGCTACAAAAGAAGCTCCTCTTACATCTTGATCGAAGATTCCAGATCATTCGTAGTGTGTGGACAGTATGAGGACGTAAAACAAGTTACGAAGACTACTGAGGTTCTCTGCAATTATTCTAAAGGCAAAAATTCAAGGCCGAAACAATAGAACACATTCAAACCGCGTACTGATTTCCGTGTGCCAAGACCATCTGTTCAGTTTTCTACAGGAGGTAATGCGATTCCAGTTCAACGACAATTTGGGAAGTGCACATCTTGTGGACGCGATCATTCCCGGTATTCATGTCCACTAAGACAGGCAAAGTGCTTCGGCTGTGGCAAAGTGGGACATATCCAGTCAGTAAGTAAGTCCAGACGTTTATGTCGCTTAACGACAAACTCTAATTCGAACGTGCAATCATTAACTGATATCACTTCTACTCTTTCTCTGTCCATTTTGCCCCAAAACGCTTCTCATATTTTGAGAACATCAGTGTTTGCTTCAGCAAAAGTAATAATTTTATTGACACCAATGGTGTTAAATCAATATTTTTACATTCAGACCTAACTGTAAGTTATCATGATGCCGTTATGATGCCCACACAAGTTAACATTCGTGGCACTACTGGCCATTCATTGCCTCTTGTAGGCTGCTGCACCGTATCGGTGAAGTTGCTCATTTTCAGTTTCAAGCCCAGGTCCTTCCATTCTTGGACTTAAAGATTTACGACTACTACATTCTGACATTTATCTACTGACGTCAGTGAACAACGTTGACATCAAACGACTTATACTGGACTGTTCTAAAGCCACAGAGGAATACGAATATCAAAGGTGAAGGTTGAAGCTTCGGAAGACCCAGTCTTTCTTAAGAGACGAATCACCCCATTTGGTTTATAAGAACCTGTGCGCAAAGAATTGCAATCCATGTTTGATAAGGGAGTAACAACGACTACTGACTCATCAAACTAGGCGACTCCAATAGTGATATCATTAAAAGCTGATGACATTACCCCTACAATTTGTGGTGACCACAGGTTAACGTTGAGTAATCGCCTGCTGCAACGTACCTGCACAGCAGAATAGCTCGAAGGTGAACTGCGTCGTTTGTCAGGTTGAGATCTTTTCAAAAATCGATTCAAAGGATGTTTATCTACAAATACCACTTGATGAAGTATCAAGTAATTTGACTATGTTTACTACTGCATTCGGACTGAATTGATACAGTTTTCTACCTTTTGGTATAAACGCTTCGTTAGCTGTATTCCAGGATGTCATGAATACATTTACTAAAGACTTAGATGGTATCAAAACTTATCAAGATGATGTTATTTTTCATGCTCCTCGTAGACCTACCCATGATTATCACCTCCTTTCCCTATTGAAGCGATTTTTTGATTTCAACTTGGTCATTAACCCAGAGAAGTGTAATTTTTCTGTTTTTTTCTTTCTCATACTTTGGATATGTTGTTGATGGCAATGGCTTCAAGCCGGATTTAAAACGCTTGACCCAATTAGTGGATAAACTGTCACCAACTAGCTTTCATGAACTCAGTTCTGTCCTGGGTACACTCCAATACTACTAACGTTTTATTCCGAATTTCGCTCAGTGTGCTACTTCTTTGTTCGATATTTTATCCATCAACAATTTGTCTTGGTACACCAACCACGAAAAGATACTTCGTACTTTGCTTCATCATCTCCAAACTACTGTTGTTTCAAAACCGTTTTTTTGCCAAAGATCATTTAACTGTAATTACCGATGCTTCTCTCACTGGAATAAGTGCGATTCTTGAACAGTATGGTAGACCAGTTGTATGCATTTCGCGTCGTCTGTTTAAAGCCGAACATGGGCATTCTCAGACCCAACGTGAAGCCCCTAGAGTATATCGGGCTGTTAAAATACTTCATAAATATCCTTTTGAATTGTCATTCAATACTGCAACAGATTATGAAGCTTAAAAATCTCTGTATCATCCTCGCAACTCTCTAGCAGTCATCTGCTGCTATGGTGCAACGCTGGAGCATTGCCATCAGTTCCTACAATTACACAATTACTCATCGTAGTGCAAGCACTATTCCCCATATTGATTACTTATCCAGAATTCTGTCACCGAACTCAAACTTTGAAAACGCTGACTGTTAACTAGTTCAACCACTGTCAGTAAAAAGGGATACACTTGTGTGCGATGCCCGTAAATTCTTTGGTCCTGTTATCTCTGCCTTAAGACGTGGCTGGACACAACGGGAGCGACGTAGGTTTCCTGCATTTTACTATTGCTGTGAAAGTTTGTCCATTACTCCAGATGGATTACTGTTTTTTGATGATTGTGTTATGATTCCACTGACTCTGAGATCTGATATCCTTGCGGACTTGCATTCCGGACATTTGGGAGTTGATAAGATGAAGTCGCTTGCACGCTTATCTTGTTGGTGGCCAGAATTAGAAACAGGAATTCAAAACACACCGCCAAAAATTGTACCAAACGTATACACAAGATTCACGCGAAACAATCACAATGGTTTCCATAGACTGTTACGTTTGAAACACTTCAGAGAGTTCAGGCTTACTTCTGTGGTCCCTTTTTGGGGAATTACTATGCCCTAGTGATTATTGGTGCATACTGTAGATGGACGGAAGTTTTTCTCACTTCATCACCGAGTGTAGACTTTACACAGCATGCGTTGAGTAAACTATTCTGTCGCGAGGGTGTACCTACTGCTTTGGTCCCAGACAATGGTATCCACTTCACTGCCAAGTCTTTGGAGGAATGGATTAAAGGACTTGGGTGTCGGCATTTGTTTACTGCTCCGCGACATCCACAGTCCAATGGACTTGCAGAAAATTTTGGACGCACTCTGAAGTCTGCCATTGCTTCTCTAACACCAAACTGACTTGTGGAACTTGATCGAGGAATCGATAATTTTCTCATGTCGTACAGAAATGCATCACATTCGGTAACTGGAAAGAGTCCCGCGATCCTTTCCAAATCTCGTGCTATGCGTACAAGTCTTGACTGTGCAAAAACAGCTGATGTTACATTTTTCAAAGGCAACGATTTACGTCCTGCTAATGGAATGGTTCTTTCTTCTCACGGAAATCTCGTGGTTAATATTCTTGACTTGGAATACCTTTCCTACCATCGGAGACATGTTGACCAGGTTGAGTTCGGTTCTAGAGGTCAGTCTCTTAACAGAAACCCTGTTGCTTCGAATTCTGTTGTCATTTCTAAAGACAAGCGGCATTACTGAACTACACGAAACATTTGAAGAGCCGACAGTCAGATGATCTGAACGTTTGGAATCCAGACCACCACGGAATGCTATACAATTGATACGTGCGATTCGGCAATATACGTTCTGTGTTATTGTGTCTAATTGTGTTTTGCGATTCTTATACGTTCGATCGTTATTCGATATGGTGCCATTCTAATTACAACACAGAACCAACAAGATATCAATGAAACGATTAAAAGTACAAATCGCGCTGGATCGTGATTGGTAATGGCGGCCAAACCCACGGTAAAAAAAGGTTGATAGTGAATTGTGTTATGCACATGGAACCTGTTGTCGATGGCCAATCAACAGTGCTTCGATATCCTTGAGAAGTTGTGAGCTGTGAGCGTTCATCAAGACCTTTAACAAATATGCGATCTTGACACTGTTACCTGTGATCGATAAGTGCTTTGCAATGGATGAAACAGTGTTTCGTCCTCGCTAAATGTCACTCGTTGGCGGGTACGGCAAATTCGTGTGTTGAAACTGATGAACCGAAGGTTCGACTCAGAACAGACGCCACTACCTATCATTTTTGACTAGTCAGCTAATCAACGAAGGCGGATCTGTATACACAAACCATTCAGTATACTTCCACACTAAACATGATGCCTTGAATTTCCAGCGTGTCCTGTCCATCACTATTCTACAACTACGTGGTCAGTTGCCTGTAAAACAACTGAATTAAGCAGGTGAGCCGGTTTTACGTTTCGTGCATTATCTACAACTGTTTCCGACCTATAACGTTGGACAATGTACGTAATGCAATCAACACGCCTTATGTTGAAATGTACTTCGCTTCGATGCGAGTTAAACCCTTCGGTCATCGGCACCGCGAAATTTCGTGGCATCTACTATATATATGGATATATATATATATATAAGATGAGACCCAATTGTGAAAAGTCAGGGCTTCGGCTGGATTCGAACCAGAGACAGAAATACCATGCCTCAACGTGGCAGGCACTCTACCGGCTGAGCTACGAAGTCACGCCAAGAGCTCGGAAATTTCACATTTGGACTCGTTTACCCACCCGTCTCACTGTCTCATATGGAATCCACCAAATGATTCAGGGGATCAACTGTCCCGGCAGGATTTCTCGAACAGTTCACGCTGGAATCCACCAATGTCACTGTTGAGCGCTTAGTGTGTCAACTTCACTGGGATTAAGGCAGCCGACCTATGCCGCACACAATTAGCTGTTCTACCAAGACCAGCAATCGTTAATTTCTTCTCCATGTTGGGTGTGTTCATCCAGTTCATTTTGGAAATAACTGATTTCAGACAAACTGAAACCTCTATGATTCAGCTGGAACTCAGTTTTCTGTCAGTCACGGAATTTGTGATGCATACTGTATTTGCACCGGTGCACTCTCTAGACTGAATGGACAGTCGGTAAAAGCAAAGTGAAGTCACGGTCGTGTTCAGCACATTTGTCTTCTGGGTTAAGTGGTGAATAGTCGTGACAGTCTATATTCGAAGTCATACATTTCAGGTTTGTAACTTGGACCAGACGAAACGCGAATTAACAGTAGGTTTACTGGACTTTTCAGTACGTGTTCAGCACCAACACCAAAACAGACCTTCCGATGACTATCAATCATTTGTGTTCACACACCTTTCCAACTTACCCGAAATGGGACTGGAATCCTCAGGTTTCCCGGACTCCATAACAACATGATTAAAATGAAGGGCAGCGACAACATATCAATCGTGGCTTTTAGGGTTTGTTTGCAACGCGTCAAATAGTTAGTATACCAGAAGGGTGGTTTCTGTACGTATAAAGTTATAGTCATAGAGCCTAAATAATACGCTTGTATCAGTCGGTTGCACGCGATATCATCATATCTTCACTGTCATTCACCGATTGTAGGCTAAACTAAATGTAGTGTGCCTAGGTTATGTAAAGTTTGGCAACCAAATATAAATGTTATTCATTCCTTTGCTATTGTGCTCACGTGCGGTAGCTAATGTGTTCACCAAGAATACCCTCACATTATTATGGTATAAGTAAACAGTAGGAGGTTTACAGAACCGAATGAACATCCTAATGGCTGCATTGAATATACCTGGATGAAATTTGACAATGCTACTAAATTACAGCACTGGGTGCCAAGATGGATAACTTTCCACCAGTTTGTCTGGGTTTCCACTTATTTACTCTTCAGCAGCTCTGTGCTCGTTTAGCCGACTATTCTTTTACGACTGAAATGGTCTAAACAATAATATTACTCAAAGCAAGCGTTTCGTGATGTTCAACTATTTCTCGTTTTTTCACACACTTCGTTCAAAAAATAAATTTCCTATTCTCCGAAACTCAGTTGTATACAAAATTGCTGACGAATTGGTAGTCGGAGATTTGTGTTCCAGTGACAGCTACTTCATACTTTGGGTGAGTTACTATCCATAAATGGTTAACCGATCTGATCATTGTCGTATCTTCGTTAAAACTTAAAGTAAATGAAATGTTTTATTTTATCTTCACTAACGTCATTACCCGTTACACTGATTATGCTAACTAAACTAGTTGTCTGTCAATCAGCACAACTAGTGTTAAGAGCCAAGAACGCTAATGGCGTAAGGATAGTTTATTCAGAAACCCAATACATGGGTTATACGCTTCAACAAGACCACAACCAAACCCACTCCTTTGCATATAACATTGTACCACGATTTCATAGCTTCAATGGTTGTCACTGTCCAGTTCACGTATGTATAAATAACCATTTTTATGCCGACCTGCAGTTACTTCAATATCTAGATGCATGCTCGTGCCACATCACTAAGTAGTACTGTGATTAATATAGTGCGATCACTTGTCCTCACTACACTAGTTCCAACCCTCTTCCTCAACTACCCGAACGATAGGTATCTTGCGATCCATGCAGGGCGTTCTATGTCACAACTGCCATCGGTATGGTGAGCATATTGTTTTTTGTCATGTACATCAAATCCGTATCTACATCTCACTTGTGTATTTTTACCTATAATTTTGAATACATTTCTTACAGCGTGTGTACCATTCTTTTATGATTTTCATAATTGTTTCTTTTCCGCGATACATCTGTATTATTAATACCATTCAAGCGTTTTTTTTAATGCTATACAGTTTTCGTACAATCGACTTGCTTGATTATTTTGAAGCCGTTTTTGTGTGCGACAAATTGGCTAACAAATTTGACTCCTGTTGCTGTCTATCTTCTCTTTTTAAACTGATTCGTTCCATTTCTACTTCATCGAAATTACCAAAACACCAACTGTTATTGGAGCTTGCGGATTATTGTAATTATTCGAATATCCTCTTCCTTGGATGTTTATTAGCTACCGTGTTTCATTTACGAAACAGTTTTTCATGACTTTTCTGCCGAAATAAATGTGCCGTTAACGTTAATACATCAGAGCCGGTGGTTGTACAATTGTTTTGAATGTTCACCAGTCGGGCGTATGAAACATTTCTTGATTTGTTTATTTTAACATCGAAAATATGGAATACACGTTTTCTGCTTTTCTAATTGTTACTTTTTCTCACTTTCAAATCGACATTCCGTTAACATTTTCTTGCCTTCTCGAAAGCACTAGGTGGAGCTATTAGGATTAAAAATTAAACCAGTGATAAACTTGACGAGTCCAAACAAAGGCAAAATCCGCTGTAGAGTGTACGCAAAAGAAAAAAACGGTACAAAAATGTTTAAATTAACGGGACTGTCTAACCAGTAAGGTCGCTAACACCTTCATCTTGCCATATGAAGAATAATAGCAACCTTATTAATAGCGTGGGTCCAAGTCACAAAAATATTTTGTATTATTTCCGTTAGACTTGTGCTCACTGAAAATTCCTGGAAATTTACTAGGTCAACAGAATGATAAGGCACACATGCACTTGAATCTTTGCTAAGCTACAAGACAAAAGTGGAAAAGAAACTGTAGGAGATAAAATAGATAAGAGAAAGCAGCGCCTGAAAGATGGACATAACAAACCAAGCAATGAACTGACTTCAAGAGAAAAATTTGAACACACCGCATCATGGGTATCACAACCACGTCTGACTTTGTGCAGAAACAAGCTAGTGACTGGCTGCAACAGTTGTAGTCACCAAGTTGCCTCAGTTTATAAGAAAGTTCCCGATGATCAAGCTGTTCGAAATTTCTACTTGGTACATTGAACAGATGAAGAAAGTCAGCCTTTGAATACGACATTCTTTAATGGTAGAGTAACAGACTCAACCAACCTGTCCCAGGACAAGCTAGGCAGGTTTAATCTACAATAGTTATAGAACGCTGCTCAAGGGGTTTTGACTTGTGTCCAACGCATGCAGAATTTCCAATGGGCAGTCATTTTGTGTGCGATCCCACATGTACACATCAAGTTGTCAAGAATGTATCATTAAAGCTTAGGGCTGACTCAGCTTTTGTAGCAGGTGTGTATAAGATAAACCACGTACACTTGTTCGTTTTGTTCCCACATTTTTCGTGATAGTTTCCCAATCAAGTGGATGTCTGTCAGGATCTAGCGATGCCAGGCAGGAATGTTTGACTTCCAGATGTGGACCTATCTATTAACTGAACGGAAAAGCTTTCACGGTAAAACCTGAAGCTCATTCCTGTAAACGGCTCAGGTATGTAATTAGTTAAATGAGAAATAGCTCAGGTTTTTGGATGCTGTGGTGACCAGCAATTGTGTGTCTTCTCTAGGGATCCCGGTTGCAACTGTGTTCTCTCACTTGTCTTTTCTGTACGCATGATTCTGTGTACATCTGTTACAGGAGGCCAGATACGTATCCAGTGCCACTTTATCCAGTCACTCCACCAGTTGAGGGCAGCGATGCTTGCCACTTTCCTAACGACTCATCTATTCTCCCATTCTTCTAGATCGTTCAACCTGTACCTTTTTGATTGTTGTTTAACGAACGCGAAGGTTCTGTTAACTCTTCGCTTGGCGCACTTTTGAGTGCCATCGAGTGGGTTGGGGCCCACATCGCGTTCCTTTTCTTTCTTCTCTTGGTTGCTACCATTGATCCCAGACTAGGCGAGAATGGACTACTCATCATACTTCCAACACTGCTCGAAATATACAACTCAGTCTTAAACCGTATCGCGTTCTTTCTGTTTGGTATCTGTTGAGACTATGTTTCGGGTGTTCTTCAGGAAATGCGCTCTAATTTGTTAATGGACAAGGGTCGAGCGCATACCCACTTGTCCACTTAATTATCAACGTTTTTTCATCTCGGAAGCCAGTGACAAACTGTTTTCCGCGAACGACTTATTCGAGTACAAACTTAATGGGCAGACAAATACACAACGTCTGTATTTTCTGATCGTTTATGGTACAGAATAGAACATTGCAATCTGAATCTGATTATGTGGGCTGACAGTGATTGTATCTGCTGAACACTTAGCTGTAGATTGCTTGAAACGAAAGCTTCTCACCCTTAAGTCTTGGTTTCAACTACTTTCACTAATACGAGCATGTCGTACACATTCGTAATGTTGTACTTATTCACAGCTTGGTTTTATACCAAGTTGTTTCACAATGTCAGTGAATTGACAAGCATTTGGTTGCAGTGTGTATGTGATCGAAGATACACAGTTACATGCATGACCATAAAACGCCGGTCGAAAAGAGTGATAACAGTTATCGATGTAAATCATTCTGAATCCAAAACTAATGTGAGCTCACTCGAGACAAAACTCCATGAGAGTTTCCTGTGTGCTTGATAAAGCAGACTCAGAATGAATAATACAAATCTGATAACCTTTCAGTGTATCAGAACTGTGGATTGAAAATAGAGAAAATATACACCTTTGTGTGATTCTGTCTAAGGAGTGAGCAATGGAGAAATTACTGTTGAATAAGTGTTCTGTAATGTGATATCAACTTTAGCAGATAGGAGAGTAATCAAAATGGAATATCATGGAGAAACCGGAACGAGATCAATATTGTACTGTTTGTTCTTCTTGAAAGGTAACATTTGTGATTCCTGCCTACTTC